AGACATACCAGATCACTTAAGTGATACACCAGATCACTTAAGCAATCCATCAGATCCAGAACACATTTTTAGTCATCTCCATCTACAACTGGTGCTACCACCCCCAACTATCCACAATGCAAGAAAATATTCAACAAATTTTACTCTTTTCAACTTGCATTACATCAAACACAACCCAACAATTTAAACAACTAAATCAAAATCATAACCCAAACCTAATCCATCATTGAATCTTTGTAAATCGAAATTTAAAATGCAAAGAGGAGATACACATATCTGGACGAAATGTCAAGAGGAGGAAGAGACAGATTTTTGGCGGAGAAGATGTTAATGGCAGAGGAAGAAGAAAGTGTTAATGGCAGAGGAATAAGAAGATGTAGAGGAAAGAGGAAGAAGAAGATGTAGACGAAGCTTAGAGTTAATGGCAGGAGAAAGAAGAAGAAGGTATTTGGGTTTGTTTGCAAGAATTTCGGCTTTTTGAAGACATATTATAATTTTTAAAAGATTACATAATACTTCATTAATCCTAATTAATCACTAATTATGTTTAATTAACCATAATCAATAATAAAACTATTTACTTATCTTATGCAACCTTTTAATTAAATTTAAACTTTATTTATTAAAATTTAAAATGCCCCATAATAAACTGGGGGGAGTTAGTTTAGGACGAAATGAAGAAGGAAAGAGAAAGAGGGATTGCATGAAAAACCAAAAAACGCGCCTAAACCAATGATTAATGAATCTTATTTGCAGAATCTTTCCTTCTTTCTCTCTTTAATTTAGAAAGGACTCACCGTACAAACCGTCCGCCGACCACTGACTGCGCTTCATTATTTCTTTCTAACACTAAATCTTCCTTTTTCTTTATATCCACTCGTTTACGATTCTTATTCAATTTCTTTTTCTTTTTATTTCTTCTCACTAATCATTTGTTTTTGTCTCTGATTTATCTAGGGTTTTCTTTAATTCTTGTTTACTGAGTTAGTGTTCCCAAATCATTCACTTTTTTCTCTGATTTGGGTGGAATGTTAAGTATTTGCTCGTTATGTTAAGAAAACAAAAGCAGATTCGTTTGATCTTGAACCAATTTTCTAATTCGTTGAACTTGTATCATAACAATCTTGATATGATGTCTTATGCCATCCGGAGCGAGCCCTTTTGCAAGGGGTTTCACTGTCGCCCACAATCTTCTCCTCTCGAGGGTAATATTTGTGGTGGTAGTAATGTTAATCCTTTTAGAATAAAAACTAGCAAAGCTAATGGCTTGATTTTGCGGGGTTGTTTTGATTCTAACAAACCAACGGCGGCTGATAAAAAAGCTGGCGCCTTTGCTCGCCAAAGGTTGCGTTATATTGAAGAGGTTTGTTCGGATGCTAGCTTGTTTAATGGTCGTGGCTCCAATCAAAGAGGAAACCCTCTTGGCTTTATTGACCATACTTTGCCTGAAAAGATTGCTGTTGCTGTTGACGTCGATGAGGGTATGAAACATCATTGTTTTTTTGTTTGTTTTGGGTTTTTGTCAATGTTAAAGTTTGAGCTATGTTTTCGTTTTTTTAAATTTATATTGCTTTGACAATGCTTATGTTTGTTATTTAACTGATATGACATGGTCAATGTCACGGAAAATTAATCAAAAGCTGAGAATTTTTGGTATGCCTTTTTCTATTGGGTACATTGTTTCTATTTCGGGGGTGTGATGATATTTGAAGGTTCTTGTTTTGTGATCATCGGCAAATGATTTTGTATTTGTTTCAATAGTAGTTCATTTCAGTTCTGTAATCTTTTTGACAATAAACATTACACAGATTGTTTCAGTTCTCTATTCTGATGCACATACTTTTTATTTTCTTTGTTTTGTGATGAGCAGTTCTGGGAAACTTTGTGTCGGCTCTGAATAGATTTATTGCAGATCGATATTCTTCGAATCATTCAGTTTCGGAATACCATGTGTATGAGTTCTTCAAGGTAATATCTGATATTTTCTATTGCATAAAGTGGTAGAAGGTCATTAGAAATTTGTACTATTAGTAACTAGCACAATATATGATCTGGTTTCTACAGTGCACTGCATCGATCCCTGGTTTCTTTTGGCTCAATTCTGGGTGTTACAACTGTTTACATTTAGCTGGAGATGGACAATATTTTGCTGCATGTTTTTATTCTAGATCTGGGCAAGTTCAATTGGACTTAAAATGAGCAAAATTGGATCATTGGGAACTTCTGAAAACAGGCTTTTTAACTCTATGGTGTATCTTAGGAATGATTATTGGATTTATGCTATTCAAAATGGATCTCTAGAAGCAATTGCTTAGTGAGGCATCAGGTCTCTATGCTTGGTTGAGACAGTGTTTAGTTACTGTAGCTGATCTCTTTGTCCTAATATTTGGGAAACTACGAATTCCTGTGTGGATTTCTGCTGGTGCATATGGGACTTCTGTGATTTTGTTACTTATTATGTTGCCAGAACATTCCTTCCAATTAACTAAGACTTCAAAGTATCAGTGCAGTGTTATATAAATATCAATTTTTATCATCTCACACAACCTGATCAAAACCAGTTTTGAAGTTGAGATGCTTTCCTTACATTCAAGTCTATATGCCTTAGATTTTACTACATTAACCAAAAAAAAAAAAAAATTCCATGTGAATAGTTTAGATTACCAATCAGGGGTACCATTATATCACTGACTTGTTTAATATAACCTCGTCCTCCTTCTTTCAATCAATTCTATTAGGGAAATTCTGAATATCTCTTATATGTATTCTGATGTGTCCTTTTCTTTCTGAACTGCAGATATGGAACTGTTCACGTGATGAAGGTACTGCTAGGGATATCAATTGCTTTAGCTGGTTTGCAATTTAGGGCTTTTTAATTTCAGTATTATTTGACAAAACATTAATTTAGTATCTTAAATGAGCAATTGGTTACGAAATTTTTGAAGTTTGACTAATGAAATTCCTAGTATATAATTTGACTGGTCTCTTTGACTTTTCCTAAGTTCACTGGCTACCGTGTTACCTTAAGTAGTTGTGTACTAGCTTTAACTACCAAATTTAGTTGGAGTTTTATGGAATGTTCTTTGATGTTTTAACTGTCTGTAAATAGATCACAAGATCTCTTAGATGGATGCTTGTTTATTGATAATGGCAAATGCGATTTGGAAATGTTATAAATCTGTTCTTTTTCATTTCCTGATGTTTTACAATTTTCATATCAATCTTATTGAGTTTGATTTTTTTTTACCCCAATCCTTTCAATCTATTTTGAATATTTTAAAAATATTATGTACCATCTGTGAGAATGCTTTCCAGATAATACTATATGTTCAAACTTAATTTCACAGTATAACAGTGATTGCCTCATTGTTTTCCTTCAAGTGCAGCATTGACTGCACTATGTTTCTTATATGAGAGATATTTCAATCATAAAATCAATTGATTTTTGAAAATATCTACTTTCATGTTGTGACAGCTGATATCCGAGTCCATGAATTCTTTAAGACACCATATTTCAAGACAGGCATCCACCCAATCCCCGGTGCACAAAAGGCACTTCATAACTTATCAAGATTCTGTAACCTATCAGTTGTGACGTATGTATGATTCTTATAATTTTTCAGTACCTATAATGAGTTAGGCCAAGTGTTAACTGGATCTCCTAATAATGTATGATTAGGTCTCGGCAAAATGTGATCAAGGACCACACTATTGAATGGATTGAGAAGCATTATCCAGGATTGTTTGAGGAGATTCACTTTGGAAACCACTTTGCTCTAGATGGAACATCTAGACCTAAGTCAGAAATATGCAGGTATGCTATTGGTAAATGCATTTGGAACTCGTAGCTTTGAAACTGGAAATTCCATGATTAAGATGTAATTTGAAGTGAAAGTGTATCGTATTATCTTGTTTTACTGTGACTTACCAGCTTGTTGGGTTGTGAGTATTGTTATGTCAACAAGCCTAATTTGCCAAGACCTACTGGATTGAATTGCTGACCATTTTGGGCTTGATGAATTGTTTCTACCAGGTACTTGGGGGCCAAAATTCTCATTGATGATAACCCAAAGTATGCAATTGAGTGTGCTGATGCTGGAATGAGGGTTCTACTTTTTGATTATGAGAATTCGTATCCCTGGTGCAAGACACAGGCAATCGATCAACATCCTTTGGTGACTAAAGTTAATAATTGGGAAGAAGTGGAGCAACAAATAGTTTCCTCGATTGTTTCTTAGTATCGTAATCCTATAATAAGGTTTGATCAAGACCACCATTCTATCAAGATTTTTATGAACCGATTCTAATGCTGCTGAAAAACGTCAGCGTATTCATATAGTAAATTTTGGGGGAGCTCTGGTCGAGTCCACCCAAGTAGGGTTATGATATACAATCTGAAGTAGAGGAACAATGGAATTGGATCAATCAATACATTGTTTTTATGTTTCTTCCTGTTTGAGGGATAATGACGGAAAAAAGGGGTTTCAGATATAGAAATTGTGGAATTCCATGTAATTATAGAGATAACATTATTATTATTGTAAAAGTCATGCTTTTTGTCCTGTAGTTCGAAATGAACTGACCAGGTTAGCACTGGATTTGTGTTCTTGTTCTGCTTAATTTGTGTAATCGACGGGGAAGATCTGTTTTTTGGAACCAGATCTATATATACAGTGAAACCACTAACATAATCAAAATGTTGAAATTACAAGAATGCTTCCTGTGTTACTGTAAAGTGTTTTGTTCTGACTGCGTTTCTTAAGCTAGCCAATCCGGCTCTATATTCTCATGGTTTATTGAGTTCCAATTCGAAATCTAAATTAACCCAGTATTTATCTTCAGCTCAGGGCTATTCTTATATAAAACACAGTCCAGAGACATTGTGATCACTGAAGGTTTGCATATCAATTTAAAGTGGCTGAATTTCAAGGCTCTTGCAGCTCATCATAATTTCAAGCACGAAATGGTCACAGTATTGTTGTGAGGTATGTGATAAATATTACTTAAAACAAGCACTGATATTTATTTAACAGGAAAGCCCACGTATGGTTACATTCACAAAGCCTTCCAATTGAGTGCTTGTCAGGTACTTTGTGATGCCTTCGCCATCCACAGGCCCCAAGTGATTCTGGCTTTGCTTTGGTCAACTATACTATTCACTTGCAATTACTTTTAACAACATAGCATAGCTTGATTCTGGTTTTGGAAGTCTCTATCTGTAGGGGTTAAAAGTGACAAAGGTAGTCTAAAAAATTGTCAGTCAGTCTTCTCCCCCAAATCGATTCCATAAGCTTGCAAAATATCCAATGCTGCAGCATCAAAAAAAAAAGAAAAACGGTTAATCATTTGATTATATGCCTTCGGGTTTAAGTAAAAGGTATTGTAATGCCATGCAGCTGCCGTTTACTGCTGATAATATTGATTTACAGACGTTTAAATTCAGGTGCAAGCAAACTAGGAAAACCTGGAAGTGGCATGTGGATGTTCATTATTTGTTAACCCTTATCAAGGCAGCTTTGGCTAATTGTTGGTGACAATTTAAGTTGTTAACGGAAGCCAGAATGCATAAACAGTAAGAGTGAAATCAGTTTTTTGATGTGACATTACCTGGGACATATACTTCTGGTTCAAGGGGTCGCAGGACACCTCTTGTTTTTATCTTGTTTACGAGTAGGAGCTGCAGCAATAAAAGAAAATAAATTCAAAGTATTCTTCCTTGATCAAAAAGAGGTGCATAAAGATGTTGCGACAAGTACCAGAGCTGCTACGGCTGCTGGAATACCAACAGTTCGGGCCATGGCAGAAATCATTTTCCCATTCTTTGTTTTCCCAAATTCCAATAAAGTGGCCCTATGCTTCTCCGTTGCCTTGCCATCTGGAAATTCTACCTCTACTTCATGATGTAAAAGCACCATATCCTGTCCACAAATCACATTAAATGAAAAGATGCTCAAAATTTCACAGAAGGAATTCGTCATAAATTAATATATTATGCAGAATATGCTATACATATGCAATTACGTACGCTTGTTTAACATAACTATTGGAAGATGCGGATGGCCATATGGATATCACACCAATGTGTACACATACTACATATGTATTGTAGATTCAGTTATGAAAGGGTTGCTTAACCCTGAGGAGAATGTGCTCCTTTCCAAGATTATGCTCAGAAAGCATTGAGATCTTGCAACATATATTTCTGACTTGATTTTTGCCTCTTGATGCAGATATATTTGGAAAGTAAGGATGATATATTCTTAAAACAGTATGTACAGCCAAAAATAAAAAAAAAATAAAAAGGCATCCAAGTGCCTGTCTTATATTCCAATTTGGGGGTATTCAGAAGCGCTTTTTTTTTTTTTTTTTTTCATTTATTGATAAGATATACCTCCTCTGTGTTAGAATAGGCTAGTCTTTCTTCCATGCGAAGACAGCTGACATCAAATGCACTCTGACAGGATTCAGGAATATCTGACTGCTCATTAAGCCCCAGAAATCTAATAGACATGAAAGGAACAATTCAAACTACTAAATTATCACACTGTTTCTGAGTAAGAAAAAATAATAACATTGTCGCCAATTGGCCGGTTAAAAAATCTATGCCAAATGAAAATCCTCACATTATAGTTTTGGCTGCACTTGTTGCTGTTTCCTGCTCTTTGCAAAATCCAAGTGAGAGAATCCTTTCCGATATGCCCTTCTCTTCTTTTAAAGTTTCATCCATATTTTTACTATCAACTTTTAGAATTTCACATAGGAACATTCTGAATGTTGGCCGCTTTCCATTTTTAAGAATTGGATGAGCTTCAGCACTAAAAAGACCAATTCTTGCAAGTGTCCCCATAATTTTGCCAAATCCTGCACAAATCATTTAAAGGATAAATGTCGAAAACACATAAACTAATAGAAGATTATGTTGATTAAATCTCAATGAGAACCTATATCAGAATTTACTATTGACCCTAATTTTTGTTTCCAGCCATTAGTTTTTATCTTTAATAATTTGAATACCCTCAATAATCTTATATATTCAAGTTAATTAATCAGGTTCTTAACTCTATTGGCCTTAAAACATAACAAAAGCCAACTTCATGTCATACCTTCATACCGAAATGTTCCTCGAAAGATGGTTGACGCTTCATTTGCAATGCCATACAAATCTCCATAAACTAAAGAGTTACGATTAGGAAGTAACTCCAATGCAAAAGCTGGAAGATCTGGAACCCGAAATCTGACTGCTGAATCATAAAGATTGTCCCCTGCAAGTTTGCACCAAAAACTACAACAGTTAGAGAGGGGGCGGGGGAACCGGAAAACTTAAACTTTTTAGAGACAGAAAAATGTTAGAGCCTTGATCTATAAGAGAATTATTGTATTCTTCCAACATGTTCATGCCAGTGACTCATTGGTTAACATGAGATAAACATAAAGCCCTCTAAGCATACTGCAACAAATTATGAACATTTTGTAAATAGTCATTAAGATAGAGACACTCTTTTATATTTATACCATAGATGGGCAAATGCTCATTGGAAAATAAAAAGAAGCATAGAGGGTATGCACATAATTTACTGGCTTCTTCTATTTATCAAACTTTTGGATTGCACACAGCTTACCATCAACATTTAGAATTTCACCCTGAGATTTATATGTGGCAGGGTTGCGCCCAGCTCGTATTGCTCCTGCAGGACTCCAACTGAATGTTTGATACCACAGTTAGTAATGCCATCATATAGCCATAATGCTCTAAGTGAAATATAACAATCAGAATGATAAGTAGGGATGCTTGAATCAATCAGATCAAATGCATGGTAAAAGAACAGCAAGAAATTCCTAGTCTAGAAGTTTGATTCAGAACTCCCATAACTTCAATTTGATTGATCTAGGAATCAAGGGTGACAATGAAAGAGCAATTAGAGAAAAAAAAAAAAATTGAGGGACCCTTGGAAATTTTTTTGTTACACTAATCTGAAATTAAATTTGATAATGGGCACCTATTACATGATAGAAGCACAAGCATATATTGATCTTTAATAGAGAATTATATTTCATGGGTAGCAGAAAAGCATAAAATATTTTAGTTTATCTCCACAGAAATATAATCAGTGTCTCTAGCTGATTCAAAATCCGTGGATTTGTAAAACACACAACTAAGCACAAAAGTAACTCTTTGGCAAAGCAATTACTGTAATATAATAAGCATTTTCCAAGCATTTTGCTACTTCGAACCTTCGTCAGCCAAAAAGCAAATCTATTCTATGATGGTAATTCTTAATCTCCTCAAAGTTCTTGTGGTTAGTAACAATACCTGAATTTGTATGCTAGTGGATTATTAGCAGCTGCTGGAGATGGAAGGCCCCCACAGAAAGAAGTGAAGGACTTAATTTTTCCTTTTCGAGCACGTGCTTCGTTGATCATCTTCATTGCCAACATATGATCTGAAGCATTTTGTAAGTATTGATCAAAATAAAACTAAATAAATCATCTTTTATTATATTACGGCCTAAAACGTTTTATACATATCGATCAACATAAAACTAAAGTCACGAAACTGGCATATATATTCTTTCAGATCCTGGTTCAATCATTATGAAGATTCTAGGGGGCGGGGACCTTAGGATATAAATAGGAAAATAAATATGACCTAAACACTTTAACACAATAATAAGAAAAGTTTTTATTTCAATGTAATCACATGAAGGTCATCTTACACTATCCCTAGACTGTTTTTATGTTTCTCAAATCAATAATTTAAAAGGATGAGGCCTAATGGCTATGGAAACGGTAAATCTTTATTGGTGTTTTTAGCTTGACAGGATCTGAGGTTAACAACACTTCATTGGTTGTACAGACAGGAGTTACCCAGAACAATTAAATAAAAACTTAAGGACACTTCAGCCGGTTCGTCAAACAAAATTTCAACGGACACATCAAATAATTCGTCAAACAAAATTTCAACGGACACATCAAATAAGACGAAAATAAGTAGACAAAAAGACTTCTCAGCAAATTGAATTTCATGTATACGTTTTCTGTTCCTAAAATGTTTGAATTGAAGCTTGTCTCCAGAGTCCAGAAAACAAAAATATATTCTGCCCGGCAAGTCACATATTTTTCAGAAAAGCTTATTTTATTTTATTCTATTACATGGCTGGATATCAAAAGGAAAATTATTTTCTCAGTATCATTCATACATCCAGGTTTAAAAAGTGAAAGCTACTGTTATTTGCCAAAGACAATATTTTTTAGTAACAAAGCAGCATGGCTTAGGATGTTAATTACCTATCCCTGGGTCCAAGCCCATCTCACCAAGAATTGTTATACCGGCACTCTTGGCCTTCTCATTTAGCTTTGACATGGAATCATCAACATAGCTAGCAGTGACAAGATGTTTTTTAAGCTGCAAAACGAGATATAATCATGTTCTTAGCTAAAGGAAGAGTAAAATCAAAAGCAATTAATACTTTTATATCCTATAATCAACATTTTACTGCAAATGTTTGATAAGATGGTATCTATACAGCAGTTTGAAGTAAACATGTAATAAAATTATCTTTTAATCACTTGAAAAATAGTCTTTAACTTGTTCCATTGGAGTATATAATTCCCCTTCCATGCACAACTTGAGAGCCCTCAACATTTCTGAAGGCTGATAATTAACTATTGCCACTATGATCCTTCTGTTCCTTTCTTTAACACTGTTGCCAAACTCTTGATGCGACTACTAGACAGGATACAGAAAGTACTAAGAAAGTATATATTACCTCAATGCACGCATTTGCTACGTGAATGTGGAAACTTGCAGGCAGCAAACTTATAACAATCTCAACCTGCAGAAGGCTGAAACTTATTAATGATAGAAGTGATCAAGGTCCTATTATTTAGAAAATCATTCTACAAAAGAGAAAAACATAAGAGGTTACCGAGTAATAAAATTATAGATATTTGAAACCTTTTCTGTTTCTTTGGGTGCACCAATACATTATAGGTAAGTATTGATTAGCATTTATATTTTCTGAGGTCCTGTTGAATACCAGCTTGTATCTCATTGTTTCTATTGCCGAAAATTGATATGCTTTAAGGATGGCTAGGAAGTGGTTTGAAGCAATATTGTTGATGACTGTTTATATATCTACCAAATCTACTTAAGATGTATTATGTAAAAAAAAAAAAAAAATTTACCTCTGAGATGTACTTGTGAAGACTTTCACGATTCATCACGTCAAGCTGTATTGCTACCGCATTTGGAATACCTTCAACAATCTAATTCATATCTATTAATATCATAACAGAACATTCACCCCTGAACAAATAACATACACGTAAAGAAAAATATATATGTACATATGACTCTCGTATGCAGTATACAATATATGCATGTTTTTAGAGTTAAAAAACAAGTATTAGGTCCTAACTTAAGCTTTTAGGTAATAAATGTATTATGGTAATTTATATTTGTGGTTGTAGTTCTTATGGTTGTGTTTAGTCCAAGTGCAATGTTTGAGTTTATATATTATTGTAGGACATTCATCTATCAGGTTAAAATTTTAGATCAAGCAGTGATTCAACTCACATGTGCATGAAGATTCTTGTTTGTGTGTATGGACGTTGAAAACATTTCACAAAGAGAAAAGATGCAAAATTTTGATGATCAACATAACCTAATGGAGCTAAAAGTCTACAATGAAGCCAAAACAAAGGATTTTACTCAATTATACCTCTTCTGCATCCTTACGGAAGAGAGATCCAACAAGAACTTGAATACAATGCCCTTCAAAATTATTTTCCATGCACGTTTTAAGCCATTGACGAGACAAAATGCTTCCAACTGATGCCAACAGTTCGGCAGCTGGTTGGCATACACGGCCTGCACCAATAATCAGAACTGCACTCGTACTTTTTGTCTCAGATTCCTTCTTAAGGCCACTCTCCTGAACCTTAGAAACCTTTAGGGATATCCCATTTCCTTTCTTACTTTGGATTCCATTATTTTCTTTTGGATTAGCCAGAGAGGTTAAAGAATCAATAATTTGATCCAGAACTGCTCCATCATCTGCTCCAACCTGTCCAAAAAATAAGATGAATATGAAAATGAATTCAACCTAGGAATCCAAGTCTCATTACACAAAAAACCATACGAAAAAATGATATAGAATGAGATAAATGTAAAATGAAGTAAACCAGACTTCAATTTTTATGCATCTCAGCCATGCAATGTCAAAGCCATGTAAAATAAGAAAAACTAGACTTCAGAATGAATATGGTTCAAGTGTGACATGAGCATGATTATAAATTTTACTCTTAAAAAGTTAAAAAAAAAAAAAAAAAAAAAAAGACAGCTTACTTCGAGTTCCGAGTATGATGTAGCACCAATACTCTGACCCAATTGGCACTTAACCAAGTGGAAGGAGCCACCCGCATCTTCAATAATATCCAAAGCCTCATTTATTAGAAATTGATCAAATAAGTGACCACTCAGAGATACCTGTCAATTGTAATGTTAATTAACAATGTTTGACAGGAAACAAAACATTGTGATGGCTACAATGAACAAAATGATTTGCAGTAATGAAAATATTTCTCATCGTACAAAAAAATTCTATAAATTTGAATCATGTACAGTCCTATATTTGGTAAGGAAGAATAGAACCAACACCTAAAGCAAAACTGATAACCTACCAATATATTGTAATTCTTCTTTTTCTTTGACGGGCTGTTTCCATGATTATCCACTGTATCTCTGCAAATAGATAGCATGCGTTCTTTACTAAAGATGATACAACAAGTGAGTTAACTGGATGACTGCTTTCAGAACTAAACCTTTGAGTATATGTATCCACCCCTTGGATTCTTATAAAAAAATATTACCAAGTCTATATAATTAAATCTGATAGAACTCGAAGTTGGAAGAAATTGGCTGTTATTATATTAAGAAGCTCACTGAAAGAAAAACAGAAATGCAGCCAAATGAACTCAAAGCTTACTCAGAATCAGAATTTCGCATACGTCGAATATATTCGTATAAGGATGTAAGTGCTCCCCTGTGGACAATGCATGCTCGGCTTAAGTGTGAAGGCAACTTTTTGATGTCTATTGTAGAAGCTAAACTGCCGATAAATTCAGACAGTATGTCTCCAAAATGTTGGGAAGCCTTTCCACAATTAAAAGGCACGTTAGGTAAGATCATAAAATTGCAGTACATAGAGAAATACAACTGTAACATAAATAATTATGGAAATGCATGGTAAGAGTACCTCACCTCTTTCGCAAACTCTGTTGGAAGAATATCAACAGCTAAGCATATCACACCATTGCCCTCCATATCATGATGGTATGAATTATTCAGATGATCATATCTAAAAGATAATGATTGAGCAACTTATCAACACAGATGGAAAGATACAACTGTAATATTACTAGTTAGAGAATCTGTTGAAGATCAACAATTAAATGCCAACAAGGAGGGATAGTATGAAACGAGATGCAAACTATAAGTTCCAGAAAGTACAATTGTAGCCAGAAAATATCCAACTTATAGATTTCTTGAAGTTATTCATCAACTTCTGCACTAACTGATGACAACACCCATACTGGGATAGTAAGTTTAGATAATCTAGGTCTAGTCAGGGGCAGATATCTATATGGGGGACCATGGGATGAAAATAAATCTCTCAATAAATTGTTTTATACTTTGGCCCCCCAATTAAGATTTGTACACTGCCAAAATGCAAACTTTTGGATCCGACATTGGGTCAAGTAGCAAAAATAGAAAACTATAGTTAAGTATAGAAACTGTACAGTATAGACTATCATGCCTAAGTATAGACAGCCAAAAAGGTAAATCAGAGAACAGAACTCCAAAATAGTTAAATATAATGTAATTGGCAAAATGGCATGAGGTTACCAAATTAATACCTGAAAAAAGGTGAATCGATTGATGTGGATTGGTTGACAAACTCTATTGAGCCCCCTATATCACAAGTTATATCAGAAATTCCAACAAGTGGACATCCTTGCCTCATTAGATCTTGAAGCTGCTGGGTACTCAACAAGCGAGGAAATCTTTTCTCCCAGTACATGCAATTGACTGGTACATAGTGAATTTGAAAAGTGAGATATTCCTCACAAAAAGATTCCAGCAAAAATGAATATACAATCATATGGAGTAAGAAAAATATTCAATGACACAAAACACAAGGGGACTGTGGCCTTCTGGTACTAAATGTGCAAATGGAAATGTAAACATTGTAATATTGACACAAAGTACAAACGAACATCATAATAAGAAATTGATCATATGATCGCATATACATCTTAAAGTGATGAGCTTACAGGGAAAAATCATGTAAGAAATAAATATTGACACGCATGGGTATCAAGTTGACAGGAAAAAGGAAAAAACAGAGAAATTATTGTTCAAGCAATAAAGGTTGTAGCATCTGTTTTTCAAACTTGCTATCTCAAGCCCTGTTATAACTTCCTTGGTTTGAAAATATTCTGATGCAACAGGCATCAGAAGATCTAAGTATGACTCAATTAAGATAAGTAAAAAGCACTTAAAGCAATCTCAATGGTTAAAACTGATAAATAATCATACAATTCGGGATTTCTATATAAGATGTTTGGTTAACCTACATGATGCAGAAAATGAGGGTCATAAATATGCAAGTTTATTGGTGATTTTCTTTTTCCATATGAGATCTACCAGCTTATGAAAGGTGGAATATGTTGAATGTCTCCATATTACAAAGATAAATAGCCTCAATTGAATTACAAACAACTATAACAGCTGAATGACATGAAAAGACATGGTTTGCCAGAAAAATGTGTTTCCAAGAAAGAGTATAACATACCAATAACAGATGCATACGGTGCTATCTTTTTATGGAAAACGGGGTTGTAGTGTTCTGGATGTGCATAATAATCTGCCTGAAATGGAGCAGAAAAAAGAAGTATTTAAGGTTAGCTACTTTTCAAAAAATTAGGCTCAATCTCAATCATGTGAAAGATTTTGATATCTCAACTACAACTGAAGACAAAATGATTTCAATCACAGACAAAATTATCATCAGCAGAAACATTACAACCATCAAACCATGCATGTACTTCACTTTACCTGTAAGCATGGGCTTGAAACTTACATAACTGCAAATCAAAATAGCCCGTCATTCAAGTGATTTTTTACCAAACTTTTTAAAAACAGCCTGAAGATAATAAGATCAACCTATGAAATTTGCAGATGGTGATTTTCCTGCTGATTATGTTTTAGTTATAACACTGCAGGACCTCAAATGCCAAGATGTATACTTTAAATCTAAATGTCACACCTTTCTGTCTTCCCTGGTTTGAGAAAGTTTCCTCGTGACCATCATATGTAGTCTTCTTGTGTGTTTAATTGTCTAAGCCTAGCTTTATTTATTTAGATATTGTTCTGTATTTTCCAAAATGTCCTGTCTGATTGGTCCAGACAGGAGATGTGTACTGTATTATATGAACTTTACAAACTATCCAGTGTCCAAGAAATTGGGCAGACATAATTTGATAAGTAGAAAAAGAAGAAATTCTAAGGCACTGTCTCTCATCAGAATAACATAAGACAGAAAATTGGAATTACTTACTTTGTCAAATCTTTTTGCTGGATCTTTATGTTCGACCATGTCTTCACTAGTCACAAAACAACCATATACTTGGAAGATTCTCTTTGATTTAGGTTGAGAGGAATCGTTAGCCTGAAAACAGTACGAGAGAAATAGAACATCAATGACATTAGTTCCTAAACAATTCGGCATGATGTAACTTGTTAAACTCACATTAAAGTACTACATCTAAATGACATTTAATCAAACAACAAGAATTCATGTCAAATATTCTGGACAGGAGGCACTGGAACCCAGCATTTATGAGCCCCACCTAAGCCTTCCAAGTTCCAAATGAAAATCACCTAGTTGGTAGTATTTCCTACCTTTCTGTTTTAATTACTTTTTGGTCAGGATTAGCAATCATATTAAAAATTGATTTTTCGAAAAAAAAAAAAAAAAGTTTTTGTATTTCAGTCATATAAAACAAGAATGGGACAACAAATCCTTGAGAACAAAAATCAGGCTGTTTCTTGAGCAGAGTGGTTTCCTCACTCTTGCATCTAAGCGGCCAGAATGGAATCTGACCTCTCATTAAGTCTGTTTCTTGAGGATATGAGGATTCCACGAAATCATG